AGGAACTGATGCTGTGGTGCACTGCTGGATTATGTACTGGAGCCAGATTATAGGCAGACTTGCCTCTCTCCCTGCAACCCTCTGTCACTAGGTCCCCCATAGTCCAGGGTGGTCTGAACTCACTATGTAGCCCTGGTATTTTTTTACTTCCTGTTTCGTTTAGACTATGGCCTCATTACAGCAGGTTTTCATTTTATGTATTCTCATTTCCCAAAGGTTGGTGGTTTATCTTACCCTATACGAGAATGAAGGGCCATCTCTGTCTTCTGGTCTCACTCTAAAGGTAGCAAGGAGAGCCTTCTTCACGACCTTACTTTATTTTCTAATGTTCAATGTAGGAAGAAATATGAACAAAATATATAATCCCCATGGTTCATCCTAGGATGCAAAACCTACCAGCCTGTCCTGACACACTTCATCATACTGAACACACACTTGTGCAAAGTACATACTCAGAATGTTTGCTCAATGAATAATGTAATTTGCCTCTGATGAGTCAGGAGCACTTAAGAATTTTATAATGTCCTAGGGTCATAACAATGAACAGTAATCATCAACAAACTGTGCTAAATATATACTGGTCCTTAGAAGTTTGTTTCTATGACATCTTCCATACTACCAAGATGCTAAAGCTTTAACTAGAACAAGCAGCGTTGGGTATTGGACAAGGAAGCAGACACTGGATACACACTACCTACTCATCTTATTTGGGCCAGGCCCTGGTGCTATGACCACTGATCAGGAAGACCCTCTGTCCTCAATGCCCTTAGAGGATTGGGGCTGAGGAGAATGAAAAACAACGTCAAAACTGTGGTGACAGGGCTGCAGAGATGGCTCAGTGCCTGCTGCTCTTCTAGAACTGGAGTTTGGTTCCCAATACCACATTAGGGGGCTCACAACCACCTAAAACTCCTGCTCCAGGGGATTCGATGGCCTCTTCTGGACTCCCTAGGCACCCTGCCCCCCGCCCAACACACAGACTCAGACACAGACACAATCACAGACACACACACACAGACACACACAGACACAGACACACACACACACACAGATTTTAAAAAACAAAATGGGCTGGAGAGATGGCTCAGCGGTTAAGAACACTGACTGTTCTTGCAGAGGACCCAGGTTCGAGTCCCAGCATCCACATGGCAGACAACAACTGTCCATAACTCCAGTTCCAGGGGATCCGACAGCCTCTACTGTCCTCCCCTGGCATTGAACGACACGGGTGTACTTACATACATGCAGGCATAGCACTCATACACATAAAATAAAAATAATAAATAAAAAAATTTAAAAAACCAAACTGAAACAAAACAAAAACACTAAGAAAATAGAGGATGTTATAGGGACTGAAAGTCAGACCTGGTATATAGCAAAGGCTTCCCAGCGTAATATCTATACTGCACCTGAACACAAAAGGGAAATTCATCCAAAGGGGGGCAAAGAAATATAAAAGAGGATCATGATTAAATTTATAGTTGACAAAAGCCCATCATGGTTGCATCAGGAATAGAAAGACAAGACCGAAGTCTGGTGACCTGCTGGCTTATTGGAGGGTAGGGCAGAAGTTGCCACATTAATCCACCACAGCCCAGGGGTTTCTTGGGCCAAAACAGGTTGATGACAAATAATGCTTGACATCCATTCCAAGAGCACATGGCCCATGGCTGTTGCTCTAGGTGCTGGTCTCCAGTCTTCTAGGTTCAGGTATAGGGTCCAAGTCAGGGGCAACATGGTAGAATGGAATGGTTTAATTTTTTTGTTTGTTTGTAAAACACTTGTTAGACCAAGGTACAGAAGTCTAAACTTTCACAGAGGCAGAGTGGCTCCTGTTAAACCTTGTGAATATTCGTACATGTGGGATGTGAGGCCCCATCAGTCGCCCCATCTCATAGTTACGTGAGGATGTTCTGGCCCCAGCACAGATTCTGCTCCCTAGCCACTGGTTCCTCTGTGAGCTGGCTCAAGAGGCCATGCCTCTTTGTCCCTCAGTTTTTTCGCACCCCTATGAAGTGGCTGGGTTGCATAATCTGTGAAATCAATCCACCAGACTGCAAGGGTATCTATATCCCAAGTTTAACAATTCTCCAGACCAGAGTTTCTCAGCCAATGTACCTTCTGGAGGTTTTCATGTGCCTCAGGCCCAGCTGACTGGGCAGGGCCTAGGTAGCTCAGGCTCTGGCCATGGGCACCTTCCTTCAATACTACAGGATGATTTTTCTGTGTGACATTTTGAGAGACTAGGCAGTCCTGCTGCAGAGAGAAAAGGAAAATATCCACAGATGCCCCAATTCTCCTTAGGCCTACTATTCATCTCCCTCGGTTACTCAAGTGTCCACTAGCTAGCTCTCTGATGACAAGGACCAGCAGGACCAGAAGACAACAATCAATAGAGCTGACGAGGCTGTGACAAATGGTCCACTCCTGCTCTTCACCCTGCTCCTCCTTTCATGGCTCCCCCTCCCCAAACTCCTCTCAACAGCTCCACACTCTCCCACCATTTCTGACAGATGTAGTTCTGGTTACGGCAGAAGTCATTCTTACATTCAGAGGGTGAGAGATTCAGAAGAAAAGGCGCTGCTTTTCTTGAGAAGGTGGTCAAGGGTCCCCAGAGATGCTGGGAGTGCCAAGAGGTCTGAGATTCTATAGCTCAGATGGCTGAAAGTTAGGCATGCTGTAGTGGGCAGGAGGCTGTTAGAACAGGCCTGGTGCTGGGACCCTCAGGTCTGATGAGGCCTTATTCCAGCTCCACTTGGATTGCCTACTCTGGCCACACAATAAAGAGGACATGCAACTGAACCAGTGGAGTTGAATTAGTGCACCTGGAGAATGATTAACGAGCCCAGAGTCCTGCTCTCCTCCTCAGGCCTTGGCAGCACCATGACTAATACCATTGCCTAGTAACAGTGGACAGCTTGCTGACCTGGGCAACAACTCTCTACGCCTCCTGGCTTCAGGCTTGTGTCAGGAGCATGGAGCATGCTGGCAGAGAGTGAGAGTGCTCTGTGCACATGATAGCAGATACAGATAGTACAACGCCAGGCTACACCCGACACCACGGCAACCTTCTGGCCCTAGATTTTAGAGGCTATAGAGACTACACTGGACACAACTACCCCAAAACAAAAAGGCAAGAAATATCTATGCAAGGAAAGTGTGAAGCAAATAAATGAGATAAGAGTCTCCCTGTGGAAGCTTTTCCTTGACCCTTCCACTGGAAAGGTCATGCTATTACTAACAAAACTCAAAGGAGAACCCAGCATATAGAACCGCATTTGTATCCCATAATACTAACAGAGGTAGGTAGTTCAGGGTGGAAATAATGGACCTGTGTGGTTCCTCCTTGGGGAGTTTGCTCTCTGGTGACTAGTTATAGGCCCTTAACTATTCCATTCAATAAATACCAAGTATCTACTGCATACGAAGTACAGTTTAGCTAAGTAGTTTAACGAAAGTACTTTGGAATCAGGTGTGGGTTTGTATTCTGAACCATTCCTCCCTGAGGTGACCTTGACAAAGCTTATAACTCCACTGTGCCTCAGTTTCCCCATATGTAAAATGATGATGGTAATGGTGCCTACATTATAGAGTTGTTTTGAGAATGGCAGTTAAAGTACTTAGAATTACAGCTGACCTGCAGGAGGTGTTGGATACCTATTGGCTATTATAGTCTATGCCTCAATTTCCTCATCTGCAAAATGGATATAGTAACTCTACCTATGTCAAAGCATTGCTGTGAGGACTAAGTAGAAAAATGTGTCTGCACCAATAAGCACATTACCTTTTATGTACACTAAATGGGCAAAAAAATACTAGTTTTTATTTCTAGAAGAATTCTTTTTAAAAAGACCTAGACATGAACAATGGTGCATGCAAGAAAGAAATCCTGTCCTCGAGTGCAGCAAAGGACATTAACCCCCTCCACCCTGAGTCTCTATTATCTACTCAACACTGCAGTGCTAATTATGCTCCACAGTGACAGGCCTCACAGAAGCTCTGATGTCTCTCCACAGGCTCAGGCTGCCCTTTGCCCTCGTGTTGACACAGTATCCACACTTCTGGTTAAGGGCTACTTGAAAATCTGGCCTTGTGCAACAAGGAGCAAGGCCCAAAGTCTGTGAGCTTTGGCACTTAACAGGGCTGTTTTACACTACCAATGCAGAGGCAACCCTCATGGCTGCTGACTGCACTGCTTTCTTCACCTGGCAGAGCTGAGCACATTACCTGCATTGCTGGAATGAGGCCCTATGAGGTTCAGGCGTGTCTGAGATCTCAGTAGCTAGGAGAGTTGGGAGCTCTAAACATTAATGTAAATCCTGGCCTCTAGTTCAAGGCTACCCAGTCAAACCAACAACTCAACTCAACTTCCTATGGGGCAATCGCCTTCTAATTATAGTTACAAAAGAACTGGTAGGGCACTCAGGCCAACACTTTTTTTTTTTTTTTAACTTTCTCTATTTGTTGACCAACTGTGCCACCTAGTGGCTAAATTCTCCAGGACAAGCACAAGTCTCCAGAGGATAACAGGTGGGGAGGCCCTCTGAACAAGGGCAGACAGGAAGCTCACAGCCCAGGGAGGAATCTAATGATCACATCTGGGGTGAATAACTGAGACGCAAAGAAATGTAACAACTAGCCCAAAGCCGAAGCTAATGAAAGGAAATGTGGAAAGCCTAGACCTCATGGCAATAAGCAAGCACAAGTATCTATCCTCGCAGTTAAATGAAAGAATAACATGCTAGTTCATGCGTCAAGGACTCACTCTACGAGCTGGGGCGATAGCTCAGTCAGTAAAGGACTTTCCCTGCAAGCACAAGGACCTGAGTTCGATCCCCAGTGCCTACAATAGGTGTGGTAGTATGTACTTAAAAAAAAAAATTATTGTAGTATTTATTTATGTGTGTGCATGCACACATTCACATAGGTGCTCCTAGAGGACAGATAAGGGTTTCAGATGCACTGGAGTTGTTGTTAGTGGCAGTTGTGAGATGTCCAACCTGTTGGGAACTGAACTCCAGTCCCCTGGAAGAGCAGCAAGCCGTCTTCACCGCGGAGTCATCGGTGCAGCTGGTAGTACATTCTTTCAATCTCAATGCTGGAGAGGCAGAGACAGACAGAATATGGGGCTCACAGGCCATCCAGTTTAGCTTACTTTGCAAGTTCCAGGCCACTGAGACCCTGTCTCAAAGTAAGGTGGATGATCTCTGAGGAATAAAACACAAGGCTGCACTCTGGCCTCCAAATGCACGTACTTGTACCTGCACCTGTGCACAGACATGCATCAACATGACTACGCACATGCGCACACAGACACACAGGACTCGCACTGCAGACAGACAGACACTGTTGGAAGCCCCATGTGCACTAGCTCACCTAACCCTTGAAACACTCCTACATGGGAGAGTGATTACTACTCTTGCTTTAAAAATAAAAATAAATAATATTTAAGTTATGGGTAATAAACTTGGGCTTCTTATGCCTTTCTAGGTTACTGGGCTATAAACCAAAAGATTTTTGTTTTGGTGCTGAAGACTGAACCCAGGGCCTTACTTACGCTCCGCCACTGAGCTACAACCCTTACCTGATACTAAAAGGTTTCTAAAGCTCAGTTTCTTTCATTTCTAGGATCTCTGTGGTAGAAAGAGGACTAGAAAGCACATTCCTTGACCAAAATTCTCACCCTCTCTCTACAGACTGTGTTGATCAATATTTGTGACTATTAATGTAAGGTTTAGCTAGTATGCTATGCCCTCAAATTACATTAACTCACATAACCCTCCTAATAACTGTGAGATAACTATTTTTTTAAAAAGGATTCTAAGGAAAAGAGAAGATTCTAACCTAATCCAGGATTCTTAGCCACCGTTGTTATCTGATTTTGTTTGATGATAGTTTTTATTTTTTTAAAGTGTGTTTGGGTCCTTGTGTTCTCATGATGGGATGGAAAATAGATCGAGGAAAATGTTCAGAGATGAGCTACCATACAGGGGAGTGGGCTGCTCACTAGTTACACTGCTAGAATACCTCTGAACCTCTATGCGTACCCGGGGCCCACAAAGCCAACTGCCCAGCAAACATGGCCTTTTGTTTTTATTTATGATTCCAAATGAGTAAAGCATTCCAGCAGCCCAACAGAGTTTATCTGAGATTAGCCAATTCTCCAGTGTGCTCTGCTGCCCCACCTCTCTCCTCCCTGCCCATGCAACATGTGCTCTCCTTGGTTCTACCCTTCTTGTCTACATAGCATGTGTTTTCTTTGGTAAGATCAACCAGCCAACTCTATAGTCACTTTATAAATGGGGTAGAGGGTTCAATTAGGGGGCTTTGCTTTAGGACCAAAGAGATAAGGGCTGCTACTTGTAGGCAGCCCTCCTTTCTCTACCAGGGACAGCAGCCCTGGCAGGAAATGTAGTTTCCCCGGAGCTGTAAGGCTCTCTCTCCCTCCAGCCAGTGACTCGAAAATGGTACTCCAGAGGACCACACTGAGTAGATGCTTTGTTAACTTCTGAATGAAAGTCTCACTTAACATTTTAATTCTAAGAGTTCAGGGGTAAGTCTTGCATGCTGTTATCCCTACCCCAAACAAGTCTGTACACAGTAGGAACTTCTACATTCACACTGTGATCCTAGTTTAGGATCCTAGTCTCTAATTTATCTGACTACGCCTGTGTACTATGAAGACCCTTAGAAGGCAGACTGGGGTGGAGTATTCGTCCTTATGTACTCAACACCTGCCTGAAGCACAGAGGTAGTAGCTACCAAAGAAGTAAAAAGAAAGCAAGGAATTCCAAAGCCAGAGGAGGTTTACAAAGTCATCTTGTTTAACTCCTGCCCAATAGAGGATTTCCCTGCATACCTGAAGTTGTTAGTAGCAATACAAATAATTTTTAAAAAACGAAAAAATGTCAATGTGGGCAATATAGTGGACTTTATAATTCAAGACCACTAATACATATCCAGTTTATGGTTGAAAATTTCTGCTTTCCGATTGGCTGTCTCTGCCAAACTCTTATTTATTTTTTTTATTTGATGTATGTGAGTGTATTGCCTGTATGTGTGTAAGGTGCACCCATGTTGCGTGCGCAGTGCCTGAGGAGGTGAGAAGTGGGCATTAGATTCCCTGGAACCAGAGTTACCTACGGTTGTTACCTGCCATGTGGGTGCTGTGAATCAAACCCTTCTGCAACAGCAGCCAGTGCTCTTTATTGTGGAGCCATTTCTCCAGCCCCCCAAACTCTTTAAAAATTTTTTTCTTTAATTTTTTTTATCATGTGTACGTGCGTGTGCCTGTGTGTGGGTTTGTGCATATCAGTTCAGGAGCTGCAGTGGCCAGAAGAGGGCCTCAAATCCCCTGGAGCTCAAGTCACAGGGAGGTGTGAGCCACCTGGGGTGGTGCTGGGAACTAGACTCAGGTCCTCCAAAACAGCAGTATGCACTCTTAACTGCTGAGCCACCTCTCCAGCCCCTCTGCCAAACTCTAATGGAGAGAAATGAAGCTGAAGACCAGTGATAGTTTGGTGTGAGCAGTGTCAGTGACAGAGGCTTTGCTAAATGTCCACTATGGATTTAATAGATATGGCTATTCAACTCGAATGACATTTAATCATTTTACTCTTTACAGGTATAAATAGGCATCCAACATAAGTGTCTAATAATGTTCTTAGTGAATGAAAAAGGAAAAAACCTTATAGGCCAAGTCCCTCTCATCACAGGTGACAATTAAGAACAAGGATGCAGGGCTAGAGAGATAAGAGCACTGGCTGCTCTTCTTCTGGGTCTCTTGCAGAAGACCTGGGTTCCATTCCCAGCACCCACATGGCAGTTAACAACCATTTGTAAGTCCAGTTCCTGGGGAATCTGATGCCCTCTTCTGGCCTCTGTGGGCACTGCACTACATGGGTGCACTTACATACATGCAGGGAATACACTCATACGCATAAGATAAAAACTACAAATAAATTAAAAGTACTAGAGTGGTGGAACTAATCTTCTTGGATGTTTAACAGACATACTTTGAGGCCTATACTAATTTGGTAAGAGGGACACAAAGGACAGTTTTTGTTTCTTGCCCTCCTAGGTTGACTAGTTCCAGGGGACTAGGAGCATCTCTCAAAATGTCCTGTCATGGTGGTGGGTCACCTGTCCTCTTGATCAAGGAGGCTGAGGAGACCCCACCAGATGGACTTGAACCAGTATCCAGTCTACAAAGAGGAGGGTCAACACAGAGGAATCATTTCCTCTATGCTGTAATTTAATTTCTTAAGAGTCCATATGCACAGCTAAAGGCTACATAACAAGCAACAATGCCAGATAGGAGATACCTTCTTTTGAGTTGTTGGCCAGGGTGGCCAAAGGGACTCCCAGACAGTAACCCAGCATAGAACTGGGAAAATGAACAGCAGACTCCAATCTTATCTAAAGGAATATTGACAACTGATTACTGCTAGATGAGGAACAGCTGACCCTCCTAAAACAAAGACCTCTAGATAGGCTGACTAGATTCAACATAAGGGAAAGCAGTGGGGATTGGCTGGGGTGCTGACAACACAGCAGACAGTAGCAGGGATATCAGAATATAAGGGCTCTGGTGGGGGGAGGGAGGCTGTGGGAGGATGCCAACTGGGAAGTGGGTGTATAGTCGAATGAGATGGTTTGGGATGTTCT